AATGAATTGCTTACTATGAGCCATCCAGTCTCTGGAGACATGATGAAAAAAGGTAGCGAACATGACAGATCCATGACGGAAAATCTTTTAAGAAAATGTTGTTACTTCCAAGAATATTAAAATGTAAATACAGCTATGACATGACATTCTACCTCATCTCCTTAGTTGTAGAGGCTATATGGCCCCGGTCAATTTATTCAACTTCCTAAGCCCTAGTTTACTCACCTAAAAAAAATGACAATAATAATAAGGCCTACTCCTAAGGTTGCTATGGGAATTAAGTGAGATCAAGAACATAAGGTGCTTACAACAGTGCAAGGTACAGGGTAAGTGTTCAATAACGTGAGTGACCATGGTGAATTTCCAGCAGCCAGAATCTCCTGGCACATAGTAAGAGTTCAATAAATGACTGGTTTGGTAAGTGGGTGGTAAAAAGGAAATTTCAGATCTAGATAGTTTTATATGTTCTGTAATGAAACAGATATGGCTATGTATACACATTTATATATATTTAAGGCTTTGATTAGGCCTAGAAGAGAACGTAAAAGTGTATGTACCAAGTTACATTGACTGCAGTCAAATCTGTGTAATAGGATTTGGGGGGAGAGATGTTTGTTTTGTTTTGTGTTTTACTTCATATACTCATTTAAAAACCAAGAATTTAGAAAAATAAAGCTATTAGCATGTTCTGAATATAGTGGCAGATAACAAAGCTTATAGTATATTACAATTCCTCCCTTCTAAGAATTACCCTCCTCCTGTCCAAAATATTTTCATTCAATTTCTCTTTTCTTTCTTTCAGTTCTGACTCTGTCATATTTGCTCTTAATTTTGGGGAAAAAAATCACCGCCTTGACCTGTAAAACAGCTTCCTCATTCATAAAATGAGGCACATAATACAGACAGAGCTTCCTAACTGGTGGACTTTGGTGTGCTGGTGTCCTGAATGTAAGTGAGAAATTGACCCCTCCTGCACGGGGCAGTTGAGAGCAGTCGGGGGCAGCCAGAGCCCTTTGGGCTACTACCTCTGGCCATGAGCAGCCTTGTTTAGGTCTCCTCAGGCACCTGTGCAGAGCAGTCTGAGGTGTATGCCAAAGAAGCAACCAGCACTTACAGTTCTGCTGTCTGCATGCGGCCAAGAAGATGCCACATCTGGCATCTATCTGCAAAGCATCCCACTGCCTGTCATGGACCGAAGATCCTGGAGCCAATGCAGGAGACCCGTGGGGCACAGCACACAGCCTCAGGGGTAATCTGTCAGGGGATGAGAGAGGAGCCTTGGCAGAGTGTAGTTTTCTGGTGGGCTCAGCTCCAGGCAATGCCTTTAATATCTGTCTAAACATATACTGGCCATCTCTATCCCTTGCAGCAGTACAGTCTTTGAATAGGGCCCAGGTTAGCTATTGACAATGCATGCATGTTCTGAAAGCTAGAGTTTCAATGTGGAAATCTTGATATAAAAATGTACTAAAAATGTACTATTGGGATTGAAATTCATTTGCATTATCTTATGAAATTGCAACATATTTGTTAATAAACTAAAAGGAAGAGTTGTAAGAATTGTTATTCTTTAAATATAATTACAATTGTACTTTTTTTTTTTTTTTTTTTTTTTTGGTACGGGGGCCTCTCACTGTTGTGGCCTCTCCCGTTGTGGAGCACAGGCTCCAGACGCACAGGCTCAGCAGCCATGGCACACGGGCCCAGCCGCTCCGCGGCATGTGGAATCTTCCCGGACCGGGGCACGAACCCGTGTCCCCTGCATCGGCAGATGGACTCTCAACCACTGTGCCACCAGGGAAGCCCCCAATTGTACATTTTGAACGGTTGTATAAAATGGTTTTAAATATTTTATCACCCACTCTCTTAGGTGATCAGAGTCCCTCACTGATAATTACTATTCAGAATATGAGTTTATCATTAAAAAAGTCTAGATCATGGGCTTCCCTGGTGGCGCAGTGGTTAAGAGTCCGCCTGCCGATGCAGGGGACATGGGTTCATGCCCCAGTCCGGGAAGATTCCACATGCCACGGAGTGGCTGGGCCCATGAGCCATGGCCACTGAGCCTGCGCATCCGGAGCCTGTGCTCCGCAACGGGAGAGGCCACAACAGTGAGAGTCCCCCGTACCGCAAAACAAAAAAAAAGTCTAGATCAGAAACTGAATAAAGTCATTTCAACCATAAAATCTAATATCAAAGTATATTCACAGGAACAAATTCAAGTCAATTATTAAAACATGTGGAAAATTTTTATTTGAAAGTTTTATCCAAATTCAATTTTTAATATCTTCCCTAATACACTGTATTTTACTTTATCATAATTATTTAATTTAAAGAAAATGTGATAATTTTTTTTTACCATCATTTAGATGCCTCTAAATCTCTTCTTTTATGTAACCTAGTGTGCTGTACAAAAATTAGCATTTTCTAGGACTCCCCTGGTGGTGAAGTGGTTAAGAATCCACCTGCTAATGCAGGGGACACGGGTTCAATCCCTGGTCTGTGAAGATCCCACATGCCGCAGAGCAACTAAGCCTGTGCGCCACAGCTACTGAGCCTGTGCTCTAGAGCCTGCGAGCCACAACTACTGAGCTCATGCACCGCAACTACTGAAGCCCGCGTACCTAGAGCCCGTGCTTGGCAACAAGAGAAGCCACTGCAATGAGAAGCCCGCGCACCGCAACGAAGAGTAGCCCCCGCTCGCTGCAACTAGAGAAAGCCCGTGCACAGCAACATAGACCCAACGCAGCCAAAAATAAATACATAAAATAAATTTTTGTTTTAAATTAGCATTTTCTCTATGTGTTGTGATGTGAAAGAAGTTGAGAGGCCCTGATATAGATTATTCATAAAATCAGTCTGCCACCCCATCCCACCCTAGGACCCTTGTCCTCTGCTCCCTACCCCATATACTCTCTGTCTCTCACATTTCAAAAACAGCCAGGGTTACAAGGATAGAAAACAGCCAAGGTTCAAGTCTGTGTCCAACAGGGTCAAGAACTCCAACAGGGATATTTGTACGAGATACCATGTGGCCCCGGAGGTGGAGAGGAGGCTTAGACAAAAGCATAAAAAATAGCTAATGTCTAAAAACTACAGAATCTGTGTGAACAACATATCTGGGAGGAATCCACATTTTACTGTAGGACAAAAGACCTGAACAAATGGACTGACATACTGTGTTCCTGGATGGAAGTACTTAGTATCCCATCCCCCACCATTTCTCAAATTAATATGAAAACTTCATACAATTCAAAGAAAGAATAACAGAAGTTATTGATTAGAAATAACTTGGTTAGAAAACAACTAGACAAACATGCACTAAAGTGAAGCCAAGTGATCAGTTTTCTTGCAGTTTCTCATAGGTACCTTGGTTTGAATACCATCTCCCTAAGGTCTTTAACGTCACGTTTTTCTACATACTCAGAAGTGACCAAGTTATTCAAGACTATTTCATAGTAATCAAACTCACAAAGCTTTTACATATTAACGAGACACTAAGAGTAGAAATTTTCCCAATATCTCAAATACTATTGTTGGCTATCAGGAGTACCTGATAAGCAGAATATGTAATAATTTGCTTCTGATAATAGAATCAGAGCAACCAGAGGAGGGTTACTTTGCTTGGAGGGTTGTTTTCATCCAAGATACAGTAAGGCCTGGTGACTGGTTTCTGCCCCAGAACAGAGTACCTTTTGTTCGTGTCTCCCAAATCAAACACTATTCCACTTGGGCAATGCTAGATAAACATCAACAACTGTTATTCTTTGTGCTCATTTTCTTCCCCAAACTCTGAGCTGACCATTCCCCACTGGTTAACAACCTGCTTTTCAAACAACTTAGAATATAACTGATTAGATTTCTAATCTTTCCAAGGGAGGGCCTGATCAATTCTAAATGAGATGCTCGTATGGAATGCTACATTAAAATATAGGGCATTTCTTAGCATGGTAGGGAGACCTGTCAACTGTGGTCACTTTTACCAGCACCTTTGCTTCAATACGGATCCACAGATTATTACCTTACAGCTGTCATAGGTGTTGAAGATCACCAAATCTTATCCCCATTTTCATTAAAAAAAAATTCTAAAACTAAAGCTCAGTAAGGTCAAATGACGTAAAGTCACTTGGGAGGCCAAGAAAGAATTAGATCAACTCTTTGATCTTGTTTTACTTCACACGTGAAAATAATTAGGTAAAAATCACTCGCGAATAGGGAGTATATCTGGTGCTCTTACTTCTAGCAATCTTGTAAATCATTCCTTAAATCCAGTCCACGAGAACAGTTCCTTCGGCTCCTTCCACAGTAACTATAAGTGTAAGAAAATAGTGCCGACGTATTTCTTGAGATATCAGTGAGTACCTAATTAACTGACCTCGACCGGTCTCGCCTCAGCTCATTAAGGGTGAAATTTCAGTGTCTCAGCCACGTTTTGAGGCCTTTCCAAGATGCCCATGATTCACATATGTCAGTGTCAGGGATTTTCAGTGCGGGCCCTCACAGTGGGCATCCCAGTCACGGACACCAGGCCCTGCCATTTGGAAACGTGCGAGGAGACGCCGAGGGGCCGAGAGGGCTTTCTTACAACCCTAAAGTACAAGAAAGGAAAATGTGGTTTTATCCAGGCGCCTGAATGAAATGAATTCGATAATGGAGACGGAAAGGCCCACGTGGGGGAGGGGAAAGAAGCGCGAGAAGAAAGGGAAACAGGCCTTTTTCTCCGGTGACGCGCGGTCACGAGGCATTCTCCCGACGTGGGCACCGACCATTGGCGAAAGCCTAGCTGACGTCCTTGCAGCCGCCCGGGCGCGAACGGCGGCAAGGGCGGTGCCGCACTGGAAGTTAGCGAGGCGCGCGCGCTCCCGGGGCCTGCCACGCCCCCGTCCTCTGCCAACCAACCCGCTCGTCCAGTCCCTCTTCGCGCCCAGCTGGCCACGCCCCTTCCCAACTCGCCCCTCCCCCATTAGGCCGGCGGCGCGCGAAAAGCGCGTCACGTGACGGCTAGCCCCGCCTCTTCCTCTCGGTCCCATATTGAACTCGAGTTGGAAGAGGCGAGTCCGGTCTCAAAATGGAGGTAAAACCGCCGCCCGGCCGCCCCCAGCCCGACTCCGGCCGTCGCCGTCGCCGCCGGGGGGAGGAGGTATTAGGGGGAGAGCGGGGGGTTGCTGGGTAGTGGCCGGCAAGGGGGGCCGGGCTCGGTGGGAGTGGGGAGGCCGGGTGGACTGGGTCGGCCCTCCCGCGCTCTGCGTTGAGACGGGCGGCGGGAGGGGGAGGGGAGCGGGCCTCGGAGGCTTCCTTGGGGCTTCTCGCCAGCCTTGCCGTCTCCTTGGGCTGCACAAGTGGTTCCTCGGAGGCGCGGTGTGGCTGGGGAGACCTCGGGAGGGGAGCTGGCCCGCCGGCCGCGCGGCCTCCCATTCGAGGCCGAGGGCGGCATGGCGGGCCTCGGCGGGAGCAGTTGGGAGGAGGCGGTGGGGGAGGGGAGGGGACGAGCAGGCACATCCGGGCGAGCGAGCAGGCGGGCGGCGGCCACATTGACATTGATCCGCTGCCGCGTTACGAAATGGCGCATTGGCACGCAATGGCCGCCGCCTGGCTCCGCCGCCGGGAGAGAGAGCGTGGGATTGGAAGGAAGAGGGAGGAGGAGGCCCAGCAGAGAATGCTGCAAATGGCCTCGAAGCTTGGGGCCTAGTGTTTTCAGTGATGTTCTCCCATCGCGTTTCCAGGCCTTAAAGATCGCTAAGGAGAATTTTACGTCCCGTTCTGTTCCTCGCAGCACTCGGTTGAAAATAATTTTTTTTTTAATTTTGCTGTTTTAAAGTACTTCTTGATCTGCCGTTTTTGCTAAAGTCCTTACGTAGCTTCGTTCCATGTGGGTGAAGTGCCCCATCTCATAGTGTGGATGTAAAATAGGAAGTTGAAATTTTTTCACCTTCGTTTTTCCTATTCTGATGGGTCGGCTCAGGTTGTACTTTCTTGTAATTTTGTTTCAGAGGACTGCAACCAGAGTCGAATTTTTCATTTGTTTGGGATAATTTCATGTGGGTTATTGTTTCTTTCTCTCAACTTTGTGTATTGTTAATTAGATGTATTTAACCGGGACTTGAAAAGATGAGACTAAGTGAATAAACGCTTTAGGCTATTAATCATTTAACATTTTTTCGTGGCATGTGACAGTCTCTTCATATTAAATGCCTTAACGTCTCTCCTTTTAGAAGACACAGGAAGATCTTAGAATGTAAATGTGAGTGCCTCTATTTAAGGACTTCGGATGAAAGTTGTCTTAATGCATATATGTATTAAGTGGTAGTTATGTGATTTGTTAAAGAACTAGTTAAGTTGTAAAACAGTTCAGGCCATATCTTAATTTTTTTTAAATCTCAATTTCTTTTTTACTGTGTTCCTTGTCAGACAGTATACCTAACGTAAGTCCAAACTGCCCTTTTTGTGACCCAGTAAAATGTTGGTTTTGAAAACATTTTTGGCACGTGGTACAAATGCAAATAGAAAATTTTTACGTGGCTGGTTTTTTCCATAGTTTTTTTGGGGGGAAATGCTGGTTTAGCCTTTCATTGAGAAACACTTATTTTCACCTTTTTATTTGCTTGAAGGTGGTGAATTTCTCCATTTTTAAGTTGTAGTTCACAGTCTTGTGGTTTATAATTATATGCTTTTGGGGGTGTAGACTCAGGAGGGAAGATGAGAGAAGAAATGGCATAGATGAAACACTGCATTTACAACACTTCTGGTTTCTTAGAAACTGGTTTCTCAGTAGCCACTTCTAAAATAATCTGTCCCCAGACACTTGTAGTTGTAGCTCAGAATTTCGGGACTTTTGATTCTGGAATTATCTTGGGCTTCAATTTAATTTTTAAGTGATGTTGGCATTTCAAAGTCTGGTTATAGGTTTTCTTGGTCCCTTTAATCAGTTGATGTGTGTGATCCTACTCCAGTTTTTAACTGGAGAAAGTGTTAATGGTACAGGAATTTGATGTTAAAAGTTTATTTGTAGGAGATTAAAAGGTTTGTGCATCTTTGCATTTACCTACTAAACGAAATAATTAAAATATATTGGTTTGTTTCCTCAGGGTCATGATCCAAAGGAACCAGAACAGTTGAGAAAACTGTTTATTGGTGGTCTGAGCTTTGAAACTACAGATGATAGCTTAAGAGAACATTTTGAGAAATGGGGCACACTTACAGATTGTGTGGTAAGTTATTAAGGGAACAAAAGGTTCTTGAAAGAGGGCAGAGGACCTGTTTAGGTGTGTTTCAGTGCTTTAAAATTTTTGTTTTGTAGGTGATGAGAGACCCCCAAACAAAACGTTCCAGGGGCTTTGGTTTTGTTACTTACTCTTGTGTTGAAGAGGTGGATGCAGCAATGTGTGCTCGACCACACAAGGTTGATGGGCGTGTAGTGGAACCAAAGAGAGCTGTTTCTAGAGAGGTATTTTAATAATACCATGTTATGTGACGTGTGAAATTGTTGCAGAATTTTTGAGGGTTTTTTTTTAACTTACATATTTTTTATTTGTAGGATTCTGTAAAGCCTGGTGCCCATCTAACAGTGAAGAAAATTTTTGTTGGTGGTATTAAAGAAGATACAGAAGAATATAATTTGAGAGACTACTTTGAAAAGTACGGCAAGATTGAAACCATAGAAGTTATGGAAGACAGGCAGAGTGGAAAAAAGAGAGGATTTGCTTTTGTAACTTTTGATGATCATGATACAGTTGATAAAATTGTTGGTAAGTAGCAGTTTCTCAGAACTTGAATGGGGAAGCAGAAATGGCTTCTTAGCTCTCTACTAAACTTGCTAAATCGCTTATAACTTTTGTATTGTGCACAATAATAGCATATAAAGTGTATGGTTTAGTTTTCATGAAGTGACTATACGTGTGTAACCAGTATCTGGATTAAGAAATAAATGTTACTAACATCCCAGAACACTCCCTTATCACTACTCAAAGTCACTACCTTTTTGATGTTTTAATAAGTTATATAGTGATAAAGGATATCATTTATGTGTGCTTTTCCAAACATCAAATAACTTTTGTTTGTTTGTTTGATTAAACAAAATTTAGTTCAGAAATACCACACTATTAATGGTCATAATTGTGAAGTGAAAAAGGCCCTTTCTAAACAAGAAATGCAATCTGCTGGATCACAGAGAGGTGAGTAGTACCATATATACATACAAAATAGAGATGAGTAATGTTTGTAAGGTTCTTAAAGAACTTTCCTGCCTGTGTTGAAGGTCGTGGAGGTGGATCTGGCAACTTTATGGGTCGTGGAGGAAACTTTGGAGGTGGTGGAGGTAACTTTGGCCGTGGTGGAAACTTTGGTGGAAGAGGTAGGACAGTTACCTTATTTCTAAGAACATGTCTACCTAAGTGTTATTGGTAAGTTGAATATATTCATTTAATTCACACTTTGCTTTTTTTCAGGAGGGTATGGTGGTGGAGGTGGTGGCAGCAGAGGTAGTTATGGAGGAGGTGATGGTGGATATAATGGATTTGGAGGCGACGGTACGTTTTTTAATGTTTGATGTTTTGATTTTGTTTCTATACTTTATTAAGAATGAAAGTGTTTGTTTACATTTTCCTAATTTAAAACTTGTGTGGCTTGACCATTAAAGTATGCTTTTAAACTAATATCATGGAAAAGTAGACCTTAAAGCCCTAAAGATTAAACATTACCTAGTTCTTTTTGGCTGATAAGATTTATTGTACTAGCAGTTGAGGTGGAATTATAGGTCTCAGAGGAGACTGTTCACTATTTTCCTTAGGGAGATTTTTTAAAATTGAGGCAATTTTTTAATATCAAAAGATTTAAGCATTCATCTTAATTGTTCCTAGCCCAGATTCTTGCTGTTCTATTAGCCAGGTATTACCAGGCTTTAGAGTGTTAAATCAATTTATTGACCTGTTTTCTGGGGGCTTAAAAGTATGGTAAACTAGCATTCAATAACTTGACCCTCTGTACATTTATATTTTTGTCTGACAACCCAATTTGTTGTTCTAGGTGGTAACTATGGCGGTGGTCCTGGTTACAGTAGTAGAGGAGGCTATGGTGGTGGTGGACCAGGATATGGAAACCAAGGTGGTGGATATGGTGGCGGTGGTGGAGGATATGATGGTTACAATGAAGGAGGAAATTTTGGAGGTGGTAGACTTTCACTTGTTTTGAATATTCAATAGTTTTTATAGTTTCTTACAGATGTTTAAAAACATGTTAAAACAGCATTTGGTCAAATTTGATGTTTTATAATAGAAAATACTCAAATGGTGAGAAATTAAACTGTTCTTATTTTGCTGGCAATTTAGTAAATTGGCAAAGTGTATTCAACTCTTACTTTTGTATTGAAATGGACATTTATCGGTAATGTTCGTTGCCTGAATTTTAGTTAACTCTAGGTACTTTTAAGCTGGACAGATGGGAACTGTAAATTGAATGTGCAGATATGTTGAATTGGGTGTCATCTGGAGTCTAGGTGACAAAAATACTTTGAGTCTTAATATGTCAGGTGTGTTGCAGACTCTTAAGCAGCTCTGCATCATTCCACGATGCTATAAAGAACTTCGTCATGAATGCACTGAGTTTTGTTGAACTGTATTGATGTATCAACAACAGGTTTTTCTTAACAGTCAACTTGAAATGCTTTTTTGTCATTGATTTAAAAGTTAAACGGTATCAGAATTACGGTGAATCAAACACAATTTTGATGCTATTTAGTGGTATGAAGGAGAGAATGTGTTAGCGTGTAACATCTAATATAAACAAAATACGGTAGCTGTCTAAATACATAGTGTTTTGAGCCAGCTTTCACTCTTTGTTTTTCCTCTCCTGCCTATGTTTGAGGCCTGCTAGTGGGCCTCTGTAGTGAAAAGAGTTTGGTAGCTCTGTAAAATCTCTTTTCAAAGCATTGTGTGTAAGTGTCAGAGCACATGCTGCCACGATTGTCAAAAGATGACGAGTACATGTATTAAAAAAGGAAAATAATTGTGTAGGTCAGCCACAAATAAAACCTTTGTAATTTCAGGTAACTATGGTGGTGGTGGGAGTTATAATGATTTTGGAAATTACAGTGGACAACAGCAATCAAATTATGGACCCATGAAGGGGGGCAGTTTTGGTGGAAGAAGCTCGGGAAGTCCCTATGGTGGTAAATAATTTTTTTTTCTATCAAAATTTTTCATAGCCTTTTAAATTAAAAACTCATGTGATTCTTTAAAATCTTTGTATGTTTCCAGGTGGTTATGGATCTGGTGGTGGAAGTGGTGGATATGGTAGCAGAAGGTTCTAAAAACTCAGAAGAAAAGGGTAGGTATCTTTAAATTTTTATCATGATGATAAAGAATATGTGGAACTGTTCACTGAGTGTAATAATTTTTTTATCCTGTATTATTCAACAGGCTACAGTTCTTAGCAGGAGAGAGAGCGAGGAGTTGTCAGGAAAGCTGCAGGTTACTTTGAGACAGTCGTCCCAAATGCATTAGAGGAACTGTAAAAATCTGCCACAGAAGGAACGATGATCCATAGTCAGAAAAGTTACTGCAGCTTAAACAGGAAACCCTTCTTGTTCAGGACTGTCATAGCCACAGTTTGCAAAAAGTGCAGCTATTGATTAATGCAATGTAGTGTCAATTAGATGTACATTCCTGAGGTCTTTTATCTGTTGTAGCTTTGTCTTTTTCTTTTTCTTTTCATTACATCAGGTATATTGCCCTGTAAATTGTGGTAGTGGTACCAGGAATAAAAAATTAAGGAATTTTTAACTTTTCAATATTTGTGTAGTTCAGTTTTTCTACATTTTAGTACAGAAACTTTAACAAAATGCAGTTTTGAAGGTGTTTCCTTGTGAGTTAACAAGTAAAGAAGATCATTGTTAATTACTATTTTGTATGAATTTTGCTAAAGTTAACTGTAAAGAAACACCTGCTGACTTGCAGTTTAAGGGGATCTATTCTCCCCATTTCCAAACCATGAAATGAATGGGCTCTGACATGTGGAGAGAATAGATATTTGTATGTTTGCAATGTGTGTTTTAGATAATAGAATTGGGTATTTAAATTAGCATATTTGTGAATTTAATAGCATTAAGATTTACTTCAAATGAAAAATCTCAAAATTCCTATTTGGTTTTTGTGCATTTTCTTTCAAAATGTAATCATATGATTTTAGTGTATTAGCTTTGCTGAGAGTCCTAGCTGTGTTTAGAACATCTCCATTCTACATTCACCTTGGTCACATGTGAACTGCTGCCATAGTTTTATTTGGGTGTAAAGAATGTCTCCTGCCCTCTGTTTAAATTCTGGAAAGGGATAGTGAATGTTTTCCGTTTCCTCCTACCTTAAGAAACATTCTTAAAATCTTCAAAATACAGGACCACTAAGCGTACTCTATCTGAGCGAATTAGTGGCTACCTTTTTTTTTCTTTTTAAAGCACAAGAGGCCCATAAATCTTCAGTTATTTTCCTTGGTTTAATATATATTTTTTTGATACAAGCTCTCAGAGCGAGAGAATAAAAATCATGCATTGTTGAACCCTTAACTGGCTGGCATGCTTTCCTGTTTGTACCCTCTGCATTATACTGGATGAAACCAAGGATAGTCTAGATATAATCATCCCAAGTGATTACTGCAGTAGAAGTGTAGCACAGTTGCTTAGTACAAACAAGCTTTTCACTTCCTCAAGACCTGAATTCAAATTTGGATAGTCAGAGTTTGTACTCACTAAAAATCCCAAAGAACACACTGTTATTTCCATGTGTATGCTTGAACCTAAGTCATGTTGGTATGAGTTTACAATTTGTTTGGAAGACCCTGGTTGAGAAGAGTCTTCGATAACAAGGTCATATATATATATATATATATATAAACCAATGTCTACTGTTTTGCGCCAGCTAGTGCTTAAAATTTCATTCGAGCCCTAAGTATGTGCCCTGCTGTTATTATTTCTTCGGTAGTTGAACGTTAAATTTGAGATTCTTATTTTTGTTTTAAGAAGTACTAAGCAAAACAAGCAATAAAAGGGGGGATGGGGCGTGCTAGTGTTTGAATATGCTCTCGTTGCTCTAATTCTGTGCCTCTGTGCATTAATATTTGGATGCATGCAATGCCAGCATGGAAATCGGTCTTCACAGACACTGCAGTTTTCCAGAAAACACTCACAAACCAATAAATGTAACAGACAACATTCCATTTGTTAATGGACATATGTGAATAAGCAGTGTAGAAAATAGGCTAATTATTAGAAAATGGTTAAGTCTTTAACAACTTCAAGTGTTGGTTATATAAATGGACACTGTCAATGTTCATAACTTAAACCTGGGTACCTGGTCAAAATAATGCTTGGGAAACATTTTATTAAAATTAAGCTAAATTGTCTCAAGTTCTTTTATTCATATAATAAAGGTTGAAGGAATGGGGGAGATTAACATTTCCTGTTTCTATGTTTGTGAAATTGTTTGACACAACCTTGACAGTATCCTTTAATGGCATATGAGGTTAATTTGTACTGTTAACAAACTTTCTGTGTTCTGGAACTAGTTTAATAGTGAAAATATTGTCAGTAAGTTGATGTTTGCAACCTATAAGCAGGTGAAATCTGTGTATGTGACCTGTTTATAAGTTGTATTAGCTTAGTTCTTGTGAACAGTGTGGAAAAGTTAAGCCATGAGGAGAGCGATTTAACCAGCTTTAAAGGACCTAAGATGTGCTTTTTAAGCACAGTGTGGATCAAAGGAGACTCACTAAGACAGGACTTCAGCAGCCTTTTGAGTATGGACAAGTCAGCATAAATAAAGAATGACAAGGCAGCAGCAAGAGCTTCAACTACAGAGAAGTGAAGGCATAAGATACTATGGTGATAGTGAGCAACTTTCCAAAAGCTAGTTAAATCTGCTTATTACAACTGAAATATCGAAGAAAGTCTAGCAGGAAGGAGCTCTTCGCCTTTTGGAACACCAATGAGAGATAGTTGGCCACAGTCACTAGGTCTAGCATTTAGACCTGCAAGGAAGGGCAATAAGCATTAGGTAAGGCTTGAATTTGAATTTTTTCACTAATTAAAGAGTAATTTTTTGTAAAGCAAGGTAAGAGTAATTTTTTTGATTTGCAGGTTGAATGAGAACCCTACTTGCCTAAATGAGGAATGTCTTTCCTACCATCTTAAATACGAAGGTTTCTGGCTGGGTAAGGTTTGTAGCTTACACTAAAGCCTGATGACACCATTTGTTTCCCTATAAATTTATATTACATATTTTAAAACTATTAGATACATTGGCAAAATTGTTCAGCTGAAAAGTTTATCTTGGAACCACATTGAACACATTTTAAACAGTTTTAAAATTTTCCCTGCAGTAACCGTGAGTGTTCATCTTGAGTCAGATATATACAATTCATTGTTGGTGTCTTTAGGATAAAGTCAATTTTTGACAAGAGAAAGAGTGACCAGGTTTTTTTTAAAGAATTTTTGTAATAAGCATGACATGTAACAGAAGCATTACGCTTCATTACTCATTCTAGAGAAAAGAAAATCTTGGAATGAAATTTCAAAACTGTCAGATCATACAGATATAAAAATGGTCTTCGTTCAAGTGGCCTCATACATAAATAAGTTCTCTCACATACGACTTCAGGGAATTATTTGGACTAATAGGATAAACTTTTGGTTCTTTTTTAGGTTTCTTTGTGTTTAATCTGTTAATCAGAGGCAGTGGGGGCCTAATTCCACTAAAGCTCCTTTTTAAGACAACCTTTCCCAAAGAATAGTTAAAACATTACCCAATTACTACACAAATCAGATGCTGGTTGTTCATAAGGGCTATTATTGCTGTCCCAAAAGGGCTTGTTAAAATTTGAGGTTTGATGTTAATTCACTTTTTAAAAAATAACACTTTGGGGGGGACAGATGGTTAAAATAAAACTAGTTTCTAAATTATAGTAAGTCAAGTTATTTATATACAGGAGCAGTTAGGTTGCCACAGATTTTATTTTCAGAAAATAACTGGTTGGGTCTCTTTCTGTATCTATCTAAATCAGGACTGAATTTCTACACACCACCATAGAATGAAGTGTTGAATAAGGTAAATAGCCTTTTAATGATAATTTTTCTTTACAACATGGTTTTTAATGAAGCAAACTTCCTAAGATAGGAAATATTTTCTTTTTTAAAGGCATTGTTCTTTTGCAGTCCATCTCCTTTATGAAATAAAGTGATTTTACTTAAATGTAGTTCCACTGTCATTTCTGAAAAATACGATGCTCTTAAGTCATAACACCAGTAAACGAAGGAAGTTATACAAGGGAAAAATGGTCAAGGCAAACCTTAACTCATTTTGTCAAAGCAACTCATAGGTTACAGCTTCCCACACTACATTTCTTCTGAAAAAGCTCATTTTACACTCGTCCTAAAGAACAAAAACTATGGTAACAAAGACCATTTGTTAAGGAACTGAACAGTTGAAATACACTTGGTTTTAAGAGTTCTAATATTTAAGTCACCATTTGAAACATTTCTAATTAAATGCCAGTATCTCTTGGAATTCCAGTAATTGATGTCACAAAGTAGTGAGTAAGCATGCTAATGTGCAGGGGTAATGTAAGGATTGTTAGCCTATATAAATATCCAAGATTACTTTTAAATCTCAATGTTTTACTCTGATTTATAAGACTTAAGAGGTGGTCTGTAATGGATTCAAATGTTTCATTTGTAGTATAATGAAATGTTTACAGAAAGAACTTTTTCATTAAAATATTTTTAGAAATGTGTGTGTTGTTTTGTCACTTCACAGTGTTCATGTGACTTAAATGCTGTATAGGTGGACATTGCATACTTTACCAGTAAGTAAAAAACAGGAAACTTGGCATGAGCCTTCACATTATCAGTTGATTTAAAGGATGTAGATTTTATTCAGTGGAAAACAGATCACATGAGAAGTAGGTGTGGGGAAAAAGCTTATTGCCATGTAAGGATTTAATTCTTAAAGGACAGAATACATGAGATACTTGGGTGATTGGTGAGTCAGTGAACTTTCTTTGGAGAAAAATTGTGGGTAAGGACAATTATGTGAACGGTAATTTGGGAGAATGGTGAAATGAGGGTTCAAAATGTTGGAAGGTACTGTGTGTTTTTTGTTTTTGGAGGTACTTGGTTTCTTAATCTTGAGAAAGGCAATTGAGCATTTTGTGGTGTGAAGGTGGGTCGGGGAAAACTTTAATAAAATTTAGTAGTAGTAAACTATCGTTATGCAGTTTAACCCAAGTGATAATGTGTCAGTTTGACAAATTGAGGGAATTCCCTGGCAGTCCAGTGGTTAGGATTCTATGCTTCCACTTCAGGGAGCCCCGGTTCAATCCCTAGTTGGGGAACTAAGATATTTTGGGCAGCACACCCCCAAAAAAATTTGACAAATTTGTGAGGTATGGTTTTGATGTGATTTTTTTTTTTTTAATTTTCATACCACACTTATTTGGGTTCATAGCATTGATAGCTGTTAACATGTGAAATGCTTTGTGAATTGAAGCCATGTGAGGATTTTAGGATTTTGCTTGTATACATTTTGCTTGTATTCTGTGTAGCTGTAAGTGCCTTATAATTCCAGTTTAATGCTTGAGTTGTAAAATAACGTTTATCTTTATTTTCTCAGAGTGAAAATACATTAAATGAAACTGCAAAATGTTCAGGCAACAAGATAAATGTGGAATCTCCCGTGTACTCATTACAAACTGCAATTAAAATTTTTTTGGAGGATTAGTGTTTTGCAAAAGCGGGGTCCTGTAAATACACTAGGTTAATTAAACTTGGAACTGAATTAAAAGTACCAAGGGTTCGGGGAAGAGTAAGGTAATAGGTAATATATGCCATTTTTGCTTAATATATTTTCAATCAGGTAATGGTAAGGGTGCATTAAACTGCATTCACCTGGTAGAAGTTAAGTGGGCATGGTACTGAAGGCTAGGAAATAACGGATTTACCTGTATGTACTATTTTACTTCTGAAATTTACTGGTAATAAATGTGGATAGTGTTATGTATAAGGAAGTGGACAGCTTAATGAGAAATGGTTAAATTTCACTACATCCATGTGTATAGCCAATACAATTAATAAGGGTTTATCACAAAGATGAAAAATTGTATCACATATCAACTATATCTGAAAATCAGAATACACGGAATTTTCATTTTTAAAAATACATTGTATTAGTCTATTCCACCAACAAATGTTGAGTAAACTGCATCAAAAGAACTGATAGGTTATTTGGATTTAATCTCAGTTTTCTACTCAATATCCTTATTTAGTAGGTATCAGAAAAATGCAATCAGGATTTTGTTTGATTCTGAGATGCCAGATTTTGCCTATCGGGAAAAATTTTAAGTTCAGAACTAACACGGTGGTTTGTGACCTTGATCAGGTTGTCTGGGGTTTCCTTTTTTATGCCATGCTCCCCTTGGCAGTTTGGTGATGGTAGCAGACCTCTTAGAATGTTTTTTTTATACGCGTTAAATGTTACTTTTAAGGTAGTTAACCAAAAATCAGGTTTGATTCGGTAATATGTACTCTTAAGTATCAGGTAAGGTTAGTGGTGGGTCTGACTACTAACTTAGAAGTTGTGATGGTTAAGTGGTATTTTGAGATGCTTGGCAACAGTAACCTGATATTATCTGCTCATAAGTGTGAAGGTGGTTAAATGGGATAATGCGTTTAAAGAGCTTAAGCTGGCTCTTGGTCCATGGTCCCTAAAGATAGTATTCTTGGTAATAGTCATGTGCTGAAGCGATGCCTAAATTTTAAAGGGTGACAAAGTTAATGCCAATGGGAGGTTTTTTCCTCCACATAGGATTAAAGTTCTTGTCTTTAATTTTTTTCCAGTTCTCAAAGTGTTAAAAAGCTGGAATTGGCCTGATAAATATCTTTAAAGTAAAAATAAGAATATTTTGTATATGTTCTGAGACTTAGAAGAATGGGTATGGAAGTATTATAAGGTACATTTGAGCAGCTACTCCACAGACTTCAAGAAAATCTCGGCAAGAATTTTATATAACAAATGCAGTGTCATGCAGTTAAGATTTCTAATAGGGTGTACCTCAATGTAAAAGGCATAGGTACACATTTTAAAATTAGGAACTGTTCAAGTAAGGTTTAACAGTTGGAGAGCCAAGTTTAATCTGAGGAGTCAGATAAACATTTCATGATCAAGAGGTGAAATCTACTTCTAGTCATGGGTCAGGATTTGTTAGATTTTAAAATTTTAGTTCTATGTAATGCAGCATGTATAGTACTTCAGAGTAATTTTTAGGCACTGAAAGGTGGTGGTCAGTTATCTTCAACTTGCAAAGTTCTGAAGTTTGACTAACGAATGCGTGAGTGAAGGCATCTGGTTTCATGATAGTAGAAATCTGGTCTGCCTAGGTGTTCTTCGCCCTTGTGTGTGGGGGGGAGTAGATAGTAGTAGGTGCAAGTTAACTCCACGTGCTCCAGATGGGGGCTGCTGTTAACAGATTGCCATCACTCCCACCCATAATTTTGTTTAAGGGCACTTTATTAGAAATGAGATTTTTGTCTTCTGAGGTTGGAAAAGTGATGTGTCTTCCAGGGATCTCTAAAACACCACTATGGGAAGGAATTCTTGACCACACAGGACAGACCACAGAATCTCCACATTTGAATGCCTAGATAGTCCTTGAAGTCGTTTTCAACCCTGAACTTTACAGCCGGCTGAGTCAAATTCTTATTAAGCTGGTTTGACTTTAGTTTCTTTCACTTGCAACTAAAAGGCATGCTAATAAAAGGCTGAAGAAAAAAGTCTCATTTATAGCGTGCTTACTATTAGCTAGGGTCAGTGCTTCTTGTGGAGTAATTCACTGCATACTTATCCCTGCTTTACAGATGAAGCAGCCTCGGTGCTTTGCCTCACTGGAGGTCATTCTTGGAAAATGGTAGCAGCCCAGGCAGTCTGGCTCTAGGGCCTGTGGACCTGTACACTATATTGCGCCTGATGGATTGATAGGACTTTTGGTGAATAACCTGCACGTAGTGCTTATTTTAAATATGCTGAGCCCTCAGATGACTTCCATTTACCCACTTCAAAATGAAACCAAGCAAGACGTGAATATCTGACCAGATGAAGAAAATGATCAGTGCTGTGAATGGTTTCTTGGGTAGCCTGCAGAGTCTCAAAATTTTGAGGGGCCTTGCTATTGTACCTGCTGTTTACATGTTTAATCACTGGATATGTCCCAAAGTGAACTGGTTTTCCCACCTAAATCTTCAAGCCACAGTCTTAACCATCTCTGGGCAACTCAGTTCTTTCAATGTTCAAGTCCTTGAGCCTGCCTTCATCCTGCATCCATTCTATTGGAAAATCCTTTTAGTTCCTCCTTTGAAACATGCAGAATCCAGTGCCTTCTCACTACTGCTATCACTCTAAACCAAGACACCATACTCCATGTGACTATTTCAGAGCCTCCCCATTGGTCTCCTACCTTTACCCTTTAGACTACTGCCAACATACAAGGCAGAGGAAACTCAGAGGAGGCAGAGGAAACTTTAACTCAGATGTACCCCTACTTAACACTGCCAGTAGTTCTCCACAAGGTAAAAGCAAAGGTTATGAAGGCTTAACAAGGATTTGTGCCATGTGCTTTTCTACTCATCCACCCTTTTTCTCCCCCTCCATGTTCAGCCATATATTTTCTCAAACAGGCCTCAGAGCCTTCCAACTTCCTGTGTCTGTAATACTCTGTTAGTAGGATGGTTCTCCCACACCTTCAAATGTATGGCATATATCTTGATAGGAGTAAAAGAACCGGTGTTTTCATGTCAAAGTATATAGAGCATTTTTTTTTAGTTGAGATATACTTGCTGCTGAAGAGAAAGTGGTTTTTTTTTGCGGTACGCGGGCCTCTCAACGTCGTGGCTTCTCCCGTTGCGGAGAACAGGCTTCGGATGCGCAGGCTCAGCGGCCGTGGCCCACGGGCCCAGCCGCTCCGCGGCATGCAGGATCTTCCCATTCCCAGGGCGTGAACCCGTGTCCCCTGCATCGGCAGGCGGACTCTCAACCACTGCGCCACCAGGGAAGCCCGAGAAAATCTTTTTGATATATTCCATTTCCCTGTATTTCCCGTACCAATTTAGTGTAGTGCTTTCCATATTATTGTCATAAAAGATTGTGAATGAACTTCAAAGAAATAATTTAACGGTCATAATATTCCTTTATTAGTACCAGCTTTTCAACTAAATTGTCTTTTGCTAGAGCTAAACAATTTAATATAAAAAATGCCATTTTTTTGTTCATACAGTATTTATTTAAAAAAGTACAGTGGTTAGTTTTGCAACAATTTGCTTTTAGCCAGATGTATCATATAAATCTATGAAAGTAACAAATGAGATAAGAACAGTATAAATAAGGAGTTTTTGTAGTATTTACATGTATATAGAAACTAGCCCCAATGGTGTTTTAAGAAATTAAGTTTGCAGTTAAAGTGAAACTACTGATTCAGCATACTGATAACTTATTTTAATGCTTCTTAAAGTTTTATATTTTCTACACTAGTTTTGACTATAATTTTGCATAGAATTACTTATAAAGTATATTTCTGCATTTCACATCACAGTAGGAGCTTTTAGTATAACAGTACAACAACAAAAAAAACCCACTAGCTCAGAAAAGGTCAGATCTGCTCAAATCTAGTTTTTCTTAGTATCTGGCTTCTTACTTTTGGGAACAAGGAATACATTGCCATCTCTCGTTTGCTGCAAGGAGTATTCA